CTAAAATAATAATAAATTGTTTTTAAAAATTACAGTTGTGTAGCGCAGTAGGTTTAGGTGTAGATTTGCGAAGTTATAGGGTGAAATAAACTTAAATAGATGTTAATAAACATCTAGACGTAGCACAATTACAGTAGGTTATACAAGTCCTTGTTTTGTGGGGCCACATCGCTGCAACCAAACTTTGGACTCTGAGTAATGCAGAGATAGCTTCCTTCACAAATCAGTAGGCCTCCTCTGTAGATTGTCTCATAGGGAAGATACTTAATGTAGCTGCAACGCTTGGCAGTCTGTTTGACAACCACAGTGTTTTATTATTGAGTAGTTAGGTATCAGGAAGATGCTGCTGCTCATCTGTTTCTGTTTTCCTCTATCGCCCATTTCAACACGTACGAGATGATATGGGATAATGAATTCTCTTACGCTGACACTACATGACGAAAGTAAATTCAATGTAGCTATGTGAAATTACATTTCTGAATATTGCGCGATTATCTCGATTCAGGCAGCCATAAATTTTGATTTATGCCTGCCTTATTACCCTTGTACTACCCGTGTACTCACTTAAGTTAGTTAAATATCCACAAGTAATACAGCGTCAACAATATTAAGTTGACATGGGAACATTTTGGAACTGCTATAATGTGGGAGAGCAAATTATATTGGTCTATCAATTTGATTTAAATACCTGTTTATTAAGATGACGTGAAAACGGTGCTAATAAAGCGAAGCGTGGTTAATTAATATAACAAAGAATGTGAAGTTCCTATTATGCAGTTGAATGATTATTTAAGCCGAATACTCTTTTTACTAGTAGCTAGTGCTATACTTCATCATAGTCCTCAGGTAGTGGATCAAGGAATATCACAATTTCGAGGTAACAACGAGAATGTCGTTTAAATACTAAAATACATTCAATTCTTCAGGGTCTCATTTAGAGATAAACTTTTTTTAAATTTATATAAACGTCCCTGAAATACCTATTTAAGAAAATAAAAATCATTCATATCGATTCATAAACAAAGAGGTTTTACCCAAACATATATAAATATACATTTATGTATTCTCACGATTTGAACCTTCTTTTTTAAAGCCGCTTAAGATTAGATAGTAAGGCGATTAAATCGAGTTTGATCAGTAAAGAAAAAAAACGTAAGGAAACCATCTTTGAAAAGGTTTTGGGGGCGTGTGACACGCATTGCATAACACCGACTTTGGTGTCGCGATACGACACGACTACAGTCGTCAGTCTAATCGAATAACTCTAAAATGTTTAAGTTTGCATTTTAAGCAGAACTTCGAATGGAATAGTTCTAACTTTTAACATTAACCCTATATTGGGGTAGGCTATTTCAGCAGTGGAGTTTCCTGGGCTAGTTAAGTAGAAGAAGAACTGTCAATTTGTACGGTAGAGCTCCGGCGCTATTGAACTTCAAACTAGTTGGTCACGTCGTGTGTCGTTGTTTACAAAAATGTATCATCATCATTACAGCCTTTCAAAATCTACTTCTGAATATAGGCCCCCTCAAGGGTTACCACAAAGCACGATCAAGAGCCACCTACATCCATCGACTTCCTCCTATATGTATTACCAGGTCGTCATTCCATCTAGTGGGCAGCCACCTTACACTTCGCCTACTTCTGTGGCGAGTTTAATACTTTATATGTTGAAAGTGTTAAATATTGATATTTTATACATAAATTTTAAGTTATTATTAATGTATGTTCTGTTATTTATTAAGGTTATTCGATTGTTAATAAAAATGCGTAAATTTTGTAAGTTATTACTTATTAATAAATTAAATTATGTACAAGCAGACACGCGCCATGTATTTTTATGTATTTGCATAGTGAAGTAATGTAAAACTGGTCCAGTCGCTGCGCCCGCGCCTTCGGGACAGCAGATCGCTAGTTCGTCCGCTTCCGCGTTGCTCGTCGTACGTGTCCTATACCAGTTGTTTGCCTAAGACCCAAGCTTACGCAGTTCGTATAGTTGTATTTTGCTGTTATTGATCTTTATTCCTGTGTGCCTAGCGCAATAAAAAATATAAGTGTGTGAAAACAGCCTATATATTCCCAAAATCATTCCCATACGCACTTACACTTCTATCAGATCGGTTGTCGGTTTTTCAATCTATATGGCCGGCACTTTGCCACGTCGCTTACTAATCCGTAAAATCAGAAAATAAAGTAACAAAAATGTATATATTGTTAGAAATTAAGTATACGCAAAATTATTTAAACAAAAGAATATTACTTGATAACAAACCATCCTTACTATAACAAACCATTTTGGAGGTATATTGGCGACCATCGCTCTCCGTCACACTTATTACAACCTGTAGCACATTTGTCTCCTGACCACGCAAGATATATACTACAACTTAATTATGATTCTCCCAGTAGTATCGTGCCAAGAACGCTAACTGCGTTTCTTCGCTGAATGGCTATACTTAGCTTTTGAGCGAGACAAGAACCAGCCCTCTTATCACCAGCAGCAACGACCAGTCGCGGATAGAGTTCCTTTAGAAACTTCACCGCAAATGTATCCCACGGACCGATAGTCTCTACAGAAAATGGCACAAATATGTAGGTAGTCATTTCTCAGAGACTCATATTTGCACTACTTACTGAGTTCAGCTGCCACTGATGACGCCACGGCTCTAAACAAGGTACCCCTGAGATGGGAGGCCACCTAAGTGTCTAAGCAAGTGGCATCCCACATTAGGGCTTTACCTCTCTCCCAAGGGACTAATGTCATACCATCGGGTCTCCTGCCATCGTCTCTATATATTCCACAAAGCTCTTAACCCGAGGGATCATTTGTACAGAAAAGAGCCTTTCGGATGACATCGTTCAAAGAACCGTGCGTGAAAACCTATCAGCACTTTTCTTACATAATAGTCGGTGGAGCCCAAAACAAATCGACGCTGCTACCACAAGGGCACTGATGGGGTTGATAAATCGCCGATCCTAGTCGGCGAGGCGTAAGCTTTCTCCATCAAGTAATGTACCGAAATTACTTGCTGGTAAAGCGTGTAAACAGTAAGCAGATCCGATTTATCTAAATATTTTAAAATTATTTACCCCCGGAGAAATTGTCTGCCCTTTTATAAGAATTCTTTAAATATATAATATAATAAACACGCTCTAACAATGGCAGATTAAATCAAACACACTTTTAATTTTTGAAAATACAATTTAACTATAAAAATAATTGCTATTATTAAATAGTGAAGGTAAACGAGCAAGTAAATCACAATCTAAGTTAGGATGTTTTAACGCCAAAAAACGTGTAGGGTTGACTTTTAAACATAATATCTTTTAATATATCTAAAAATGAAATTAATTTACAGTCCACCTGTAATTACTTGCAGTCCATAGAATTTGCAACCAATTACAAAAAAGTATACAGCGTCCTTACTTCTGAGGACTAAGGTTGATTGTCACACAGTTTTAGTAGAAAATAAGAACTCAAAAATAATAAAAAAAAAAAACGACCAATTCACCACCAACCCGCCAGCCAAGCGTGGCAATTACTGTAAACATGAGGTAATTTATAGGGGACGCCTGTGTTCAGTAACATGTTAAAATGTATTTAGAATATGTACAATATTATACAAGACTACTATTTTCACATACTACGGCCACATAATTAAAACTTTCGCCGCATACGAAACCCGACACGTCACTCGTAGTTTTGCTAAAACCTTTGAAGCGAGGCTTCATGTAAAATTCATACTTTACTTACCGCTGAATATTGATTCTATTTGTGTGCAACTGTACTTGTTGTACAAATGAGCCATGTTCTAAAATAACTGCAGAAATAATATAATTATCACGTTTATATTGACTTGAACATTTTTGTCTACTAAAAACTTATAAAATCTAAGTTTCCTTAGCTTTTTTTAAACTTTTATGCAAAAAAATAGTACATATGGTGGACTTAGTGTCTTAAGCATTACATCGGAGTGAACCATTAGACAAAGCTAAGATAAACATGCATAACCTTGTAGTGGCGGTTAAGAATACCCACTATCCCATATCTTGCCGTGGGTGTCGTAAGAGGCGACAACCCTCCACCTCCCATGGCCCCACCGACCCTCAGGTCATACGGGCCGAATCTCGGGAGATGCGCACGGTACTTGCACGTGGCTCTTTCCCGCGCATACTTTCTTGTCTCCCTACAAATATTTAATCTATTCCTTGTCCCAGTTTAACGTCATTCTCCCCCTTCTGGGGCTGACGACACATTGACGCCTACGTCGTCGGGCGCTCCTACCAGCCTTCCATCCTGCCTTGTCCTGCTATCGTGCCACCTATGCGCAAACTCGCGCAACAGTCCATAGTTTACCACATCGCTGACGAGATCCGAGTAGTAAACTGGTCCCTGAACCGGACGAACTAGTCCATCCATCATTTTCACTCTTAGGTCATCATACAGAGGAAATTCCCATAGAACATGGTGAACATCCTCTTCCGACATACCGCACTCACACATACTAATTTCACACAGTTTCATGTCGCTCAGTCTCTTCCGAAAGCATCCATGTCCGGTGAGAATCTGAGAGGTTTGGTAGTCCAGTGAGACCCAGGTATAACTGAGTCTCAACGCCACGTCCGGGAAAAAATCGATGTAGCTCACGTCCTTTTGTATCACACGTCTATCTATCCTGCCAGGAGCCTATCACCTCAGTCCAGATATCGCGATTCCGTCTGCTCAACTCCTCTTTGGGCGGGGTCAAACGTGCTATACCCATCCTACCAGCACGGATGACCTCTAGGTCAGCAGGGAGAACGCCAGCCAGCACTGGTAAGGCCGCCGTGCTAGTGGATCGGTACGTCTTGGTTAACAATACAAGAGCGGATCGCTGCGATCTCAGTAGTACGCTACGAACTGCGTACGTGTTTGCACGCTCGTACCAGCACTCTGCTGCATACGTAAGCGTGGACACAAACACTCTTCTATAAATTAATTTTAAACTCGGATATCGTACACCTCATGATGATGTAGATACGCGAGACATCTTGCCGAATCCCTTGGTCGCTCTTTCAGAGATATCGGATGCATGTTGCACAAACGATAGTCCCGAGTCTAAAACCACGCCTAATACCTTAACGTTAGTCACAGTCGTAATAGATTCCCCACCTAGTTTAATAACGGGGGGGCGCTGAAGTTTCCCTCTAACAGTCATGGTGGTCGACTTTGAGGAGGAAAACTCCAGTCGATTCCTTAGCCCCCACTCCCGTACAAGGTCCAGAGTGACTCTGGCCCTGGATTCGATACCCGCTCTCGTTCCCGATACAATCAAGATTGTAACATCATCGGCATAGGCAGTCATGGCTACTCCCTCGGGCAGAGGGAGTCGGAGCAGGTCGTTCATCAGCACATTCCACAGTGTTGGGCCCAGCACGGAGCCTTGAGGACATCCCATGGTCGACGTCTTCCACTCTACCCGGTCTCCGATGTAGAGGCCCACACGCCTGGAGGTGAAGTAGTCCACAAACATTCTATAAATGTTGGGTGGACATCCACCCCTTTTGGCCTTGACCATCATCATCGGCCAACAGGCATTGTCGAAGGCGCCCGGAGATATCTAAGAATATTGCTTGCACGTAGCATGCCTGAGAATACCTTGCCGTGCTGAGCAGTACACGCAGCGCTGTTACTGTAGACCGCCCCAGAGAAAATCCATGCTGTTACTCGGATATCCCGCGGCTAATCGCGGGAGCACATCTTAAAATTACTCGTTCCAATAATTTTCCCAAAACAGGGAGGAGCGTTATTGGACGGTATGCCTTGACGTCGGTGAGCGGCTTGTCATTACCCTTGGGAATGACAATCAGTCTTCCGTCCTTCCATACATTGGGGAAAACCCCCTCTTCCACACACTTGGCATACACCGAGTGATATTTTTCTCGCACTCACTCCATCGAGTCCCGGAGCCGTGTTGGGCAAGGCCTTAACTATACCACCCAGTTCCTCAACCTTAAGTGGAGGCGCAGCTCCACCCGACGGCATGAAAGCCGCCAGCAGACAAACCTGCCGGTGATAAGGCGAGTCGCAGTCAGTGCTGTCATCCGGACAGAGCGCAGACATTAATTTATGCATCGCTGCTTCCAGACCGTCCGGGTGTACACCCGCAAAGGCGATCCCATTGATCACATTTGCAGGCGGACGTACCCTGCCGCTGGAGAGCCTGTATGCAAAGCCCCATGGGTCCTCATTGCCAGCGTTGGCAATCTTCCTGTGCTGCGACTGCTGCGCCTCCACCATCATTTTCCTATATCTCGCACGCACACTATGGAAAGCCATCCTGGCTAACTCCTCAGACCTACCTCCCAGACGCCTTTTACTCTGCCAAGCACGCCTAAGTTTGCATTGCAACTTCCGAGTTTTATCCAGTTCAAATGTCCACCATTCATACCCCCCCGACCCCCTGAGGCGACGCTCCCCTAAGCCTTCCTCCGCAGAGCGAATTACGACCCCTGAGAACTCCTTCGCTAGGAGAGCCGCGGGTTTTTCTACGTGCAGCCATCCCATTCGTAATTTGACAATCGCCCGGAACCTTTTCCAATCCACCCCTCGGTCACGAAAACGGGGGGGATCCCTAACGGATGCTGCGCGCGTCGTCGGCCTGCTGGTAGTGGCCGTGTAAGTTATTAAATTATGATCGCTGGCGCAGACCCACTCATGCACTCGTCACTCGGCAAGGTAGACGTCCCCAGTGGAGAGGGTCAGGTCACGTCCACGTCCACCAGGCACCTCTAGGCCCAGAGAAGGTGTAGGGCTGGTCAGGCATATTTTCCAACGTTAGAGCATGTGTGATAATAAACGCCTCCATTTGCTGCCTTCGATATTGTACATTTTGTCCTCTTCCCACGTAGTGTCGGCGTGTGGCGGGTGGATGGCAAAGGGGAGATCTCCCGCCGGGCAAGGTGTTCTGCCCAGGGAGCGGCCAGCGCTCCGATTGGTAGTTCGGAGCTATTCTATATATGCTGCTTTAATTTCAGAACTTTGATAGCGCGATTTAGGCTTCGATGTGTTTCGCTTGTGGCGCGACGACAGCGCCGCCACATCACCCCCCTGCTCAGACCGGAGGTCGATAGTGCAGTCCGATTGCCGGTGCGTCCTTAAATGCTGGTGGGGAATGCATACTGTGTGCGTAAGGGCAAGTGACGCCGGTGCGAATGATATACCGGTGTGTAATGCATGCCATACTACGTACGTGCAAGTGATGCCGGTGAGAACGATGAGCCGGAGCAAGTGCCAGGGATTGCCTTGTAGTCTGCGTTGAGTCGAGAAGAAGGCAAGTAATCTGCGAGAGTGCCGTGAAGCAGAGGCGAGCAGTAAGGCTCAGAGCCGTGCCGAACACTGTAGCGCAGAGATTAGCTTGAAGGAACAGGAAGCATTATTATTCCAATGCTGCGATGAACCTTTATAAAGCTAGATGGCTTGAAGAATGTGAAGACTGCAGACATCAATATCAAAACAGATCACAATACCAGAGTGGCGAATGCGCATTGGCGTCGAGGCCCATGATCACCCTTCTGCCCTTAAGGCAACTCAGGGCGACCTCTAAGTGGTGCAGGTGGTCATCAATAGTGTCGCTAAATTTAAAGTACGCTGACACCACAAAGAGGTCCCACCGGTCAACATGGCACACCACACAAAATTCGTTGCTGAGGTGGCTCAGCACTGCTACCCCAATTGCTGGGTCGGCAAGATAGATGCCCGCCCATGGGTGACAGCCCACCTGAACGATCCCCGCAACCTGGGAGTACTGTTCTTGTACAAGAACAATGTCCAGGTGCAGTTCACGTGCCAGAATGGGCAACTCAGCCGCGGCGAGCTCCCCTCGACCCAGGTTGATTTGTCCTAATCGTAGTGCCTTGTCTTCCTGGTTAACAATGGGGCTGCCCTTATCGGCAGTACTGAGTGGTGGCCACGGAGCGTTGCTCTGCATACAGCCTTGCTGGGCAGTTCCTCGCCATGGTCACGTGCGAGCCAGAGTCAGTTCTACCAAATCGCCTGCACGTAGCGCACTTCTCCCCCGTGGACTTGCAGGCACCACGTTCATGTCCCGCCTCTCCACATTTTCCACATACGACCTCCTTCGATCGGCAGTACTTCGCAGGATGTCCATACTGTTGACACCTCTGTCAGCACGTGACGTCCACGTAATCACACGGCTCAACCACGTCCGAGCCGACGTATAACCGATTGTATCCGATCAAGATATCTCTCAAGGCAGCCGAACATTGAACGATCACGGTTGTCCTTCTGCTACCTCTCCAGGACTTTTTGAAAGCAATCCTGCAGTTTTCATTCACTTTTGCTTCAGTCCATCCACAAGCAGCAAGGTTCTGCTCGTGGAGGTCGCTGATTACATCCTCATTTTTGGGGTCCTCCTCAAAACCCCTAAGAGCCACCAGGGGTAAACGTTGTCTGGGCTCCGTCACCCTCAATGTAGGAGGGGCAGCAGTCTTCAGTTTCTCTGCTGCTTCCTGGGACGTGGTTTGGACCACGACACCCGCATTTCCCACCTTCCTCAGCTTGTCAATCTGAAGCCCGCTGGTCTTGGGGTTAACTGCCTTCTTGAGCTCCATCTTCGTATCTTCTGCAGTCTTCAATGGGCCTTCCGTCTCAGCTGGGTAGAAGGCGACAACTGGGCCTTTACATGCTGGCATCAACATTTGGTCGGCCCCCTTCGGCAGCCTCAGCGCCGCCGAGTAGGAACGTTGCGGTGCCGGGTCCATCGCGTGGCAAGGAACTGCTCTGGCCTCAACCTGCGCCAGTCTTCCTTCCGCAGCAATCTTCCCCTGTTCTTCTCTAAGTGCTGCCAACTCCAGTTCAGATATATGGACCTCCATTGTCGCAACCATTGCAATGAGATCATGCCCATATGTAGCCACCTTGTTGACCTCAGCCTTGTTGAGTTTCGACCCTGGTCCGGTGATGATACCCATGATACCCTTGACTGCATCACGAACATGATCGATCACCTCCAGCTTAGATGCGGTCGAAGCTTTGAATATCCCTCTTATTCCCCGTGAGCTCTCCCTTTGACAGTCCTCATCTACGGCCTCTGCAGCAGGCTCCTCCATATCCCTGGACGGCAGTCCTGCCACCGGGGCCACACTCTGGCGAGGCTCAGTACGTTTGCCCACCCTTGGTCGCTGGGAAGATGACTGTTCCTCTTCTGGTGACGTCAGAGGCCGCTTTTCAGGTGCTACTGGTGGGGGGGGGGGGGCAACGCGACCGGCCGACCAAGCGGGCCCGGCGGAGTACTGGCCAAAGATTTGCGAGGAGTAAACAACTCCTTATCATCCGCCATTATTATTTTATTAACTGTATCGTCAGATTATATACAAGAAATCAAATCACTATCACACATAAAAACAGAAAAGGAACGCAAATTGTCAACGTCAAACTCTATGACAGATGACAGCTGCCAACGTCAGTGTCAGTGTCAATGTCACGCTCAATGACGGCTGTCAGTGTCAACACAACAACCGCGTGCCAACACTTCCTAACCTCAGTAATAGAATAATGTTCAAAGTTTTCTTATAACTAAACTACAAGCTATATATAATAAAAGTACTTACAAGTAATTATCCATTAGTAGTAAATTAGAAATAAAACATAACACAAAGATATTTAGCTAAAATAACCACGCGGTTCGCGTGGTTCAAACCAACAGACACGTGCTTATTCCTACAAAAAGTATTTAAAAATACACCAACACAACACAGTTTCGTTTTATACGACACAAAAAGCTATATAGTTACTATTAAACAAAAAATTTGCACAAAAAGTATTAAGAAAACACAAAATTACTAGAAAATACTTCACGAGGTCACGCGAGAGCGCATAAATACGTCCGCTCAGTACGAGTACCGTCGACGTAGCGTAGCGTAAGAGGCTACAGTAGGAAACAGGCAGGAGATGGGCAGCAGCATCTTCCTGATAACAGCAATATTACAATAATAAAACTGCGGTTGCCAACCCGCTCGCCAAACGTGGCAATTATGGGAAATATCCCCCATAGTGAAAGTTACGAAGAGACGGCCCCAAGTCCGCGGCGGCCCCGCTATTCCTGGCTACGGTGGCGACGGAGGTAACGGCGGGGCAGGGGGTGCTAAGAATTTCCATTGGAGGTTCGGTTGCCACATACGATGACTCGGCCTGGCAACATAAAACGCACTCATCCTGAGGACTAACTCGAAGATCCTGGAGCTGGAATAAGAGATAGACAAGTTACGCTGGCATATTATAGGCTTATCTGAGCTCCGAAGAGGGAAAGAGGACAGACTTTATTATGATGACCAGACGACAACTGTTCAGTGATAACTCAGTAATCGCAAGAGTGAAAAACAGGAGCGATCACCGAATGGCAAAAGGCACTCTGAACCTAAACGTTAGGTTGGTGAGGTCACATCTAATGAAGTCAGCACTCCGTTCCACTCGTGCTTTGATCCAAAGACGCGAAACCTTTTAGCTCGAGTAAAAAGGTTTCCTAAAACCGTTTTCAGTGTCAGGAAGACTGCAATGAAGTGATAGATATAAATGATAAACTCGTAAAAACTGTTCATGCGGTCGAAGCCAAGTTCTGCAAGATCCGCCGCAGAATAACAGAAAAACTCTTCGATAATACTCTTAATCTCATGGCTGTTAGACGAGAAATGAAGCTGCAATCTTCGACAGATTTGACAGCATACAGGCAACTGAACAGACAGATATCTAAATGCATGCGGCGGGACTAACGCAACTTCAATACAGCTTGTATTGAAGAAGTGACCAAGCGGAAACAAGGCTCCAAGGTCTATGCCAGAGATTTGTCTGCCAGAAAAAGCCAATTGTAAAAGCTGAACGTCGAGTGTAACAGCATCATTTCCGGGATACCTGAGAATTTGAGTGAGATAGAGAGTTTCTATGGGCAGCTATACACGTCATCGTTGGAGCCACACGCAAGTGTGAGTAACGATCCAAGAGCGAGTCTTATCCGACACTATTTCGAAGATATCCCGGACTTCAGTCTGAGCGAGATTAGAATGGCTCTCCAGCACATTAAAAACGGCAAGTCCCTGGGTGAGGATGGAATTACAGCGGAGCTTTTGAAAGCGGGTGGAAAACCGGTACTTAAAGTCCTTCAGAAGCTCTTTAATTCCGTCCTCCAAGGAGGGACTGCTCCGGAGGCATGGAGCAGAAGTGCGGTAGTTTTGTTCTTCCAGAAAGGCGACAAGATTTCAAGATTTCAAGAGATTGAAAAACTACAGACCGATTTCCCTTCCGAGCCGGGTCTACGTGCTGTTTTCGAGAGTCATTACGAAGTGAAAACAGATGCGGGCTTATGAAATGGTTTTGAGACATGTGGGTTGTGCCCATACAGTTCTGACAAAGTGAATTATACAAAGTGTCCAATGCCCTCGAAATCACAGCAAGCCATTTTAGATGATCACCGTTCTGTGCCATTACGCCGAAATACCAAATATTTTAAGACTAACGACTAATAACGACTGAATCAGAAATACCTGTATTAA